TTGAAGATAATATGCCCTTTTAAAACGCGAAACGAAGCTATAAAGAGGTGTTTGCATTCCATTCTCCATTCCCATTCCGGAAAATGATAATCGTAACATCGCCATAACACATACAGCAGAAAATCTTTAAAGTGGAGAAATGTGGATGTGTCAACGTCTGTACACCTCCTTGTTTCACCTGTCTACTTCTTTCATTTACTTCCCTCCTACGTCCTTTATTTCTTCCTCCCCCCCAGCATCCCAAAACGCCGAAACAATAATCAAGACCCCCTTCCCTTCCCCCCCCACAGCTAAGTTCTAGTCTTTGTGGTCGGCGTCAGATTGCTGCCCCTCCCCTTCCTTTCTCTTTCTCTCTTTCTCTTTTTTCTCTCTCTTTCTCTTTCTCATTTTCTCTCTCTCTCTTCTCTCTCTCTCTCTTCGCTCTCTCTCTCTTCGCTCTCTCTCTCTTCTCTCTCTCTCTCTTCTCTCTCTCTCTCTTCTCTCTCTCTCTTCTCTCTCTCTCTCTTCCCTCTCTCTCTCTTCTCTCTCTCTCTCTTCTCTCTCTCTCTCTTCTCTCTCTCTCTCTTCTCTCTCTCTCTCTTCTCTCTCTCTCTTTTCTCTCTCTCTCTCTCTCTCTCTTGTGTCCTCTCTTTTCTCTTTTTCTTTTCCCCTCTCTCGCTCTTTTTCTCTTTTCTTTCCCTTTCTCCCCATCTTCATCTCTCTCTTCCTCTTTCTCCTCCCTCTTTCCCTCTTTCTCCCGCTCCCTTCGCTTTTCCTTTTATCCCTCCCTCCCCCCCCTCACCCTAAGCAAGTAGGCAATTCGCTGTGCCGCCAACTGCTCCTCTCCGCCCACCTGTCTGCCAATGGGCGTCAGTTATTAATATTAGCACCCTTTGCCACGTCCGATACAGTCTTGTTCTCTAAGCCTCTTGTGTCGACCCTTTCTTCCTCTTCCTCTTCTTCCTCCTCTCTTCCTATTCCTTCCCCTCCTACCTTTCTTCCTATTCCTCTCCTTCTACCTCTTTTCCTTTTCCTTCTCCCCTCCTTTCCTTTCTCTCTTTTCCCATTCCTCTCCTCCTCCCTCTTCCCTCTTTTCCCATTCCGCTCGCCTTGATCCCCCCCCCTTCCCCTTCCTCCCATCTCCCCCCACCCATTCCCCCTTTAGCTTGCCCCTTCACTGACAACCTCCCCTCCCCCCCTCTCTCTCTCTCTTTCCCCCACTCCTCTCCTCTCCTCCCTCTCCACCCGCCCACCCACCCATCTCCCACCATTCCCCTTACCCCCCCCCCTTCCTCCCCTACAACCACCTACCCAGAAGAGGGAGACGAGCGGCTGCCTGCGTGCAACATTCGTCATCCTGCAGGAGTGAGTAATTGAATCTACGGCACAGCCATAGCCTCCGCGAGGACCGGTGCCACGTCCGTCAGTTTCATGGGGGCTGTGAGTGCCACCTGTGCGAGGGAAAGAGGGGGGGGGGGAGGCGGAGAGGACGAGAGGGGAGAGAGGAATTGGAAGAAAGAGAAAGAGAGGGAGAGGGAGGGAGAGATAAGGAGAGAAAAAATGAGTTGGAGTGGGAGCGTGAGAAGGAGAAGAAGGAAAGGGAAAAGAAGAGGGAAAGAGAAAAAGGAAGAGGGAGAGGGAGAGGAAGAAAGAAAGAAAGAAAGAGAGAGAGGGAGCGAGGGAGAGAGGGAGAGAGGGAGAGAGAGAGGGAGAGAGGGGGGGGGAGAGAGAGAGAGAGAGAGAGAGAGAGAGAGAGAGAGAGAGAGAGAGAGAGAGAGAGAGAGAGAGAGAGAGAGAGAGAGAGAGAGAGAGAGAGGAGAGAGAGAGAGACAGAGAGAGACAGAGAGAGAGAGACAGAGAGAGAGAGACAGAGAGAGACAGAGAGAGACAGAGAGAGAGAGACAGACAGACAGACAGAGAGACAGAGACAGAATTCTATCTCCATGTCTACGCGTGTGACTGTCCCTGTATGGCCGGCGCACAAGGGCAGAAGGAATCCATCGACCTCTCACCAAGGGGACGACGGGATTAAAATCGGCGACAAAACACAACTCACCGCAAGACCAACATTGACTCAATCTTCAAACCCTTTCCACAAAAGTGAGTCACAGCCAAGGCTTCCACTAACACTTCCGAAATCGCATATATTTATTTATATTTATTTTATATCATATCATTATATATTACATGATGAGAAATGGGTTAGAGAGGGGAAGGGGGGGGGGGAGGGCGAGTAGAGAAGGGAAGGTAAGGGGAAGGAGGGCGAATAGAGAAGGGAAGGAGAGAGGACAGAGAAAGAGAAAGAATCAAATAAAAGAGAAAAAGGGAGTTAAAGAAGAGTGACAAAAATGAAAAATATATTCATAAACAACCGCCTATCTCGCCACTTCTCTTAATACCATTTACAAAACACAAACACGCCAACAAATTGTTTAAATCCAATCAGAATTTATGCAAAACAATTAGCCTAAATTTACATTAGTCCATGCGAAACAAGGCCATTAACGAAAACGAATGCACGCATACTGTCCTTGCTCCGGATTGCTTGCGAGTTGCGAGGCAGGACGTGGATGACAAAAAAAAAAAAAAAAAAAAAAAGGATAAAATAAAAATAAATAAATAAATGAATGAATAAATAAAACAAATATAAAAATAAACAATACACCTTTGTGGCAGGTAAAGGATTTTTGGTGTTAGGATAATGGATTATTGGTAGGAAAACAAAAGTTTTTTTTTTTTGGTGCTATAGAGTAAAGGGTTTTTGGTAACAGGTAAAGATTTTTTTTTTTTTTTTTTTTGGCAAGAGGATCAAGCTATTTTAGTACCATGGTAAATTATTATTGGTGAGAAGACACAGGGATTTTGGTGTCAGGATAAAAGTTCTTTTGTGTCAGGATGAAAGTTTTTTTTTTTTTTTTTTTTTTTTTTTTTTGCAAGGATAAAAGTTTTTTTGTGCCAGGATAAAAAAAAAAATGTGCCAGAATTAAAGGATTTTCGTCAGGATTGTTTTTTTTTTTGATGACAGGTTAAAGCAGTTTCTAGAGCCCGCAGAACGTACCTTTAGTGAAAAGCAAAAAGTATCTTTAAACTGGAAAGAAGTAATTTTGGTAATGAAATGAAGCCGTTTTGATACGAGGATAAAGTGTCAATGCCAGCATACAGAACAAGGTTGCTCTGGCACCTGGATAAAAGACGCTCCTCAGACCACTACGAATTTGGGAAAATACCTTTTGGTACCGACACAAAGTAGTAAAATTTGATGCCAAGATATGATACCACGATATATTAGAGTAGCCTAAGTAACACTGGCAGGTTATCTGTCTGTTATAAACATTCTGTAATAATAACAGCAAAAGAATGACCTTCTAAAATGCTAGTTACTTTGCATTTAACAAGCACATCGTCACAACACGAATTGACTTATTAACTTATACTTGAGTATCTAATAAAACCTATTAATTTAAAAAAAACATTCCACTACAAGGAATAACACAACAACAATAATAAAAAGGAAAAAGAAAGAAAGAAAGATAAATACAACTCACAACACAGGCACAACGAAACACTGCGCTGTATAAAAACGACATTATCATCGCTGTCTAAAAATAAGATGTTGACAACACTGCTGTTGTAGTGAATCTCCAGCCAAGTGGCGGAGGAATCGAAGGAAAGTCTCCCCTCTGAAAAACAAATAAGACCGCCCATGCCCGTGGATGACTCGTGTCTGGGGAGCTGGGGGGGGGGAAATTGCAGAAATTGTTGTTGCATGTGTTTTTATGGTGTAATTGTTTTTATGTGGTGAATTATATTGAATTGTATTTTTATTCTCGTTTTCTGTTACCTAAACGGCACAAAAGAGCACATTCTGCCTCATGGTGGATCAGATAATCTTCCTACTCTTTTTCTATTAGTTTTAATAACCCTTTAACATATTTTGAGATGTCTTTTTAAATCAAGCAGTCTTTTTAAGGGGGGAACGGTATTTTATTAAGAGGGTAAGACACCGCCATCTCTTAACAGTTACGCGACCTTCACCTGGTTTGACCCGAGATTCACCTCATTTTTTTACTCATGCTTGCTGGGAGGGTTATATATAGATCCCGAATGGCCAGGTCAAGGGGGGTTTTTTGGAGCATCTTTTAGCCGTGAGGCGTTGGGTCCCTGGTCGTGAGGTTTTACGTAGTAAGAGGCGGTAAGATGGCATCTTTTTACTTTTTTCGCTCTTTTTAATGAGGTGATGTGCTCTTTTTATCTTTGCTGTTCAGTCTTCCTTTTAGAGTTCATTTACTTTTTTCGCATTTAATTTTAATGTTCAGTGTTCTCTTTACTAATCTTTTTTACCAGTTCACATTTACGTGTTTGAAGTTTAGGGTTCTTTTTTTTAACGTCAGTTTGTCTTGAGCTTTTATTCCCACCTGTGTTTGGAATATGGGAGGGTGATTCTCTATTTTTTAATTGTCTTGGAACTAAGATTTATATTTTGAATAAATTTTTGTGTGAAATGTATTTACTGTTTTTTTAGACTCCATTATGTTTCCCCTTCGTGTCCAAGTATTTTAAAGTAAATAGATTTAACTTCTTGATACCATAGTCTGCACAATCGTCACGCACTCCATCTCGGCCTTATTCACGCTAACCAGTGTTGACCCTCGAACCTTCGTACTTTCTACACACTTACACTTGCTTCCTTTTAACTTATCTACACCCTTCTACATGCCTCTCACTTTCCGAACATGACACATACGTTCCTGGACGAATTAACCAGGTGGTGGCAGCCCAAATATTTCGTACAAGGGTCGAAGTTAACTTTGTAGATCACGACAAGTAAAGCTTTCATGGTGCTCAGCGGTGGGACGATTTTTCACGATTTGTCTTATCAGATTTATGGTATTTTGATTTCTTATTAAATTTATTAGCTTTGGCTATAGTGTTCGTATTTTAGACCCATTCTATTGCTTTTATCTTTGTTTTTTGGGATGTTTTAAGTCGGCATTCTATACTTTTACTAAGTCAGTCTTAAGATGGTCGGAAAGAGAAGCAAACGGCTCAGACAAAGTGAAGCAGGGGCAGAAGGGAATCTCAATATGTCCGATTCAAGTAATACTACCGTGCCTGTTGACAATAATAATCCAGTACATATGGATCTTTCAATGTATGAGGAGTTAACAACTCGTTGTAATGAATTAGAACAGCGTTGTGCTAATCTTGCTGAACGATACGAGAACTTGCTACAGGAGGTCGGCCCTCACAATTCTTCTAATCTTGCTCCTATCACGCCTACAGTAGAATGCGTAGTTCACAGGGAAGATTCAGTACCGCATTTTAAAGCTGAAGTATCCGCAGCTTTCCCACTTAGAAGGAATCAGGAAGTAGAGTCATGGCTACGAGCTATTGAAAATATTGTAAAACCTGCCAGCGATAGAGCTTATATTCGCGCAGCGAGAGCTTCTTGTAGAGGAACTGCGGACCTAATTGTAAATTCCCCGATTTTTGATGAAATTACTAGCTGGATTGACTTCAAGGCGTTAGTAAGGGCTAAATTTCGCGGAACTTGCTCAAGTACAGAGTTCTTCAAACACTTGCATAGCTCGAGATTAACGAATGGCCAGGCACCTTTAGATTTTTTCGTCTCGATTGAAGGGTTGGTTTATCAAGGCTACAGAGATTATCCAATAGCAATAGGTGCGCCAGATGAGCTGATTAGACGTGTATTCCTTCAGGGACTCCCACATTGGTTAAGAGAAGCTCTGGCTTTAAAAGAGGATGATTTATTACCTTCCCTTGTAGATGCGGCACAACGCATTTGGAACTTGCGTATGGCTTCGAAAGATGGACCTTCAGTCCCAAATGCTCATGATTTCCGACTAGCCCGAGCAAGGCAGGTTGCTTCTATAGAGAAGTATTGTCAGTATCACCAGACAAATACCCATAATACTGAAGAGTGCAGATTGCGTCAAAGAACTCTTAGATGTTTTAATTGCCAAGGAACGGGTCATTTTGCGAGGCAATGTCCCTTTTTGCCGCCTCACGGTCGGACATGGTCTTCACCAGCACGTGAGGGGACTCATGAAGGGAGACCAAATGAACCGAGGCAAAGATCAGACAACCAAGAAGCACCAGGCTCACAAGGTAATGGTTCTGCAGAACCAAAATAACCGCGGTCGTCCTCTCCTATATATGCATGTAAATGGTATGTTGTGTACTTGTTTTTTGGATACTGGTTCAGAAGTCACGATTATTAGCGAGTGTGTTAGCAAGAGGCTGAATATCCATTCAATTACACCAACTGGACGAACATTCAAGGGTGCTTCCGGCGCCATATTTAGTGGTCAGGGAGAAACGAATGTACATTTTTGTATAGACGACCTAGTACAGTGTACCCACCCAGTTGTAGTTTTCAAAGATATATCATTTCCAGGGGACGTGTTGCTAGGCATAGATTTCGTTCGCAGGTTTAACTTTCAGTTTGTTGCCAACCACACCCCACCTGGGAATTACATGTCTTTTGACGGTGTAAAGGTGCCCTTTTGGTTTTCTGATCTCACCTCTCTAGGTATTAGAACTATAAATTTAGCATGTAAACCTCAGAATGTAATTGAACCCCAGTGTTCTGTATTATTAGTGACTCAAACCATGATCTGTCCACCCAAGTCGGGATGTTTTGTGAAGACAATGTTATCCAGGGAATTCACACACCCATATGGATTTGTGCAAGGAAAGACTGCAAAGGTATTGGTTCCCAGGACTGTAATAGCAGTGAACAATGATAGTGCTTCTGTGTGGATAATTAATGATAAGACTCACCCAGTGACTTTGCAAATGGGAATGAAATTGGCAAGTGTATCAGAAATTGATAGTGTGTATTCATATAATGACTCTGTAAATATTCCAGGTGATGCTGAGCATAGTGATAAGGTGGCATGGGAGGACTTCACCGATGAATTTGATGAACGCTATGGTGTTGGTGACTTTGGTTATTCACGTGGTGACTTTGATATCTTTCCACCAGTAAGCATGGACGTATGTAACATTGAAACTCCTTCGGGCGTGAAAGGAATAATTCCAAAGGAGAACCTGGAACATTTAGGGACAGTGAGATGTGGGATGTTATTAAGGATCTTGGAGAGACATTCTAACCTCTTTGATGAAGATGCCCCTTTAGGTTGTATACCAGATATTAACCATCATATTATAACTTCAGATGGACCTATCCGTACCCGACAGTGGAGATTACCGGAAAGCGCACGTGATACCATACGACAAGAATGTGAAACTATGTTACGTGATGGAATAATTGAGCCTTCTACTTCGCCGTGGCTCTCTCCTGTGGTCCTGGTGCGAAAGAAGGACGGAGGTATAAGGTTTTGTATAGACTTTCGTAATCTTAACAAAATCACAAGATCGGATACTTACCCAATGCCCAGACTTGATGAAACTATAGACAAACTAGCAGGCACTCACTGGTTCACGGCTTTAGATGCCAAGTCTGCCTATTGGACAGTGGAGGTCAATAAAAACGATCGGCAAAAGACTGCATTTACTGATGGTTGTCGTCTTTTTCAGTTTAAGCGAATGCCATTTGGCCTGGCTACAGCCCCTTCTACTTTCCAGAGAGCCATTAACGCAGTACTACACCCAGTCTTGGGAAGACACACCCTCGCATTCTTGGATGATGTTGTTGTGGCCTCTAGGAACTTTGATGAACACCTCCAGCATCTTGATGAGACTATGGGTCTGTTAGCTAAGGCAGGATTCAGGCTTAATCTAAAAAAATGTAAATTTGCAGTGAGATCCTTCAAGTTTTTGGGTCATTTAATAACACCAAATGGAGTCCTTCCAGATCCAGACAAGGTGAAGGCCATTATGCAAATGACTGCCCCACAGACAGTGAAGCAAGTGCGCCAGTTTTTGGGAGCCACTGGGTTCTTTCGACGACACGTCAAGGATTATGCCACTATAGCTGCTCCTTTATCGGCTCTGCTGAAGAAGCAGGCAAAATTCCGCTGGTGTTCAGAGCAGCAAACAGCCTTTGAAGCCATGAAACAAAAGCTAGCTTCAGAGCCGATCCTTAGGCAACCAGATTTCGACCGTCCCTTTGAGGTGCATTGTGACGCCTCTGGTGTGGCGATTGGTGCCTGCTTAATACAAAGAGATGACCAAGGTAAACCTTGTGCTGTAGCCTACTTTTCCAGGAAACTGCGGCAGGGAGAGAACAAGTTCCCAACTATTGATGTGGAAGCTCTGGCGGTGGTAGAAGCAGTAAGAACCTTCGATTCTTATCTATACGGTAGGCCTTTTGTCATTGTGACTGATCACCGTCCTCTTGTTCATGTGTTTTCTCGAAAGACAAAGTCTTTGCGCATGTCTCGTTGGAGCCATGAACTTTCCTTTTATAACTATCAATTAATATACAAACCTGGTGCATCACATTATGTGCCAGATTTATTGAGTCGTAAGATTTCCCCAATTGATGAGATATTGGATCCCCAGACAGTGGCTGCTGCTCAACAGGAAGATCCATTGTGGAGTGAGATTCGTGGCTACCTTCAGGAACAGAGGATACCCCAACGCAGGATCCCACTCAACCTTGAGGAGTTCGAGATGAGGGACAACCTATTGTACCATCTCCGGGTGCTTCCAGGAAGGGTTGTCAATCAGCTGGTAATTCCACGTACTCTGCGGACCAAGGCTCTGGAGGCTATCCATGCAGATGCGGCCTCTGCTCATCCCGGAATCTTCCGAACTTACTGTCGTCTCAGGGATCATTACTACTTTCCCCAAATGCTGGCTGAGACCAAGAAGTATGTGAATTCCTGCCTAGTGTGCCAACGTAGGAAAGGCCGCGCTGGAAGAAAAGCCCCACTAGCTTCCATGCCTGAAGTCTCTCAGCCAATGGAAAGGGTATCGGTGGATCTGATAGATTTGATGGGATCTGCAAGAGGCAATAGGTACGTCTTATCCATCATTGATCACTTTACAAGATACCTGCAGGTAATTCCCCTGCCAAACAAGGAGGCACAGACTGTGGCTGATGCATTTATAAAAGAGTATGTTACACTATTTGGTCCACCCCGTTTGTTGGTGGCGGATAATGGACGAGAGTTTCATAATCGTCTGTTTTCCCAGGTGTGCCAGATAATCCAGACCCGAACTCACTACACAACACGGTATCATCCAGAGGCCAATGGGATGATAGAGAGGAGCAACAGGGTAGTGAAGGATGCATTAGCTACACTGGTTGGAGAGTATCCTGATAGCTGGGATGAGATGCTACCCTTCGTACGACTTGCCCTTAATAGTGCAGTGCACAGAAGCGTAGGTCAGCAGCCTTTGTATCTCCTCACTGGGAAGGATGGCTATTTCCCACAAGGACTAACCAATGAGCAGGATACTGATGAAGAAACGGCCCAAATATTGAGAGCAAGCCTCAGAGATGCGAGACTAACTGCGAAGGAAGCGGCACGAAAGGCCCAACGAGGATGGGCCCGAGATTACAACCGCCGGGTACGGCAGAGGTTTGACCCTGCAGAAGGGGATCTTGTCCTGCTCCGGAACTTCGCTCGCCCAGGTGGTTCGGCCAGAGCATTGGGACCAAGATGGAGTAAACCTGCTCGCATCGTCAAGAAGATTGGGCCAGTAAACTACATGGTCCGTGAGCCTGACCCACCGTACACAGAGGTCAATTATCACCTTAACCAGATGCGCCCATACGTTCCTTCAAGGGAGATTGCGTACCCTGAGTCCGACATTGAGTCTGAAGTGGATCCTGATGATGTGGTAGAGTAAGGTCTCTGAGAATTTGGCCAGTAGCACCTTGTTCCTGTGGGGAGTTTGTCGCAGATTTTTGATCTTCGTTTTCTGGGGTTTTACTTCTCGGTTGTGCACATCTACCCTTATTAAGAGTTGAGAAAAGGACGAAGATGTCCGTCTATGTAAGACCTTTTACTAATGTATCCTCTCTTTTCAGAAGTCTCTGGCCATTTTCTCGACTTGCAGATTGAGTCCGCCAACTGAAGTTAACGGACTTTGGTGGGGAGGTGTTGTAGTGAATCTCCAGCCAAGTGGCGGAGGAATCGAAGGAAAGTCTCCCCTCTGAAAAACAAATAAGACCGCCCATGCCCGTGGATGACTCGTGTCTGGGGAGCTGGGGGGGGGGAAATTGCAGAAATTGTTGTTGCATGTGTTTTTTATGGTGTAATTGTTTTTATGTGGTGAATTATATTGAATTGTATTTTTATTCTCGTTTTCTGTTACCTAAACGGCACAAAAGAGCACATTCTGCCTCATGGTGGATCAGATAATCTTCCTACTCTTTTTCTATTAGTTTTAATAACCCTTTAACATATTTTGAGATGTCTTTTTAAATCAAGCAGTCTTTTTAAGGGGGGAACGGTATTTTATTAAGAGGGTAAGACACCGCCATCTCTTAACAGTTACGCGACCTTCACCTGGTTTGACCCGAGATTCACCTCATTTTTTTACTCATGCTTGCTGGGAGGGTTATATATAGATCCCGAATGGCCAGGTCAAGGGGGGTTTTTTGGAGCATCTTTTAGCCGTGAGGCGTTGGGTCCCTGGTCGTGAGGTTTTACGTAGTAAGAGGCGGTAAGATGGCATCTTTTTACTTTTTTCGCTCTTTTTAATGAGGTGATGTGCTCTTTTTATCTTTGCTGTTCAGTCTTCCTTTTAGAGTTCATTTACTTTTTTCGCATTTAATTTTAATGTTCAGTGTTCTCTTTACTAATCTTTTTTACCAGTTCACATTTACGTGTTTGAAGTTTAGGGTTCTTTTTTTTAACGTCAGTTTGTCTTGAGCTTTTATTCCCACCTGTGTTTGGAATATGGGAGGGTGATTCTCTATTTTTTAATTGTCTTGGAACTAAGATTTATATTTTGAATAAATTTTTGTGTGAAATGTATTTACTGTTTTTTTAGACTCCATTATGTTTCCCCTTCGTGTCCAAGTATTTTAAAGTAAATAGATTTAACTTCTTGATACCATAGTCTGCACAATCGTCACGCACTCCATCTCGGCCTTATTCACGCTAACCAGTGTTGACCCTCGAACCTTCGTACTTTCTACACACTTACACTTGCTTCCTTTTAACTTATCTACACCCTTCTACATGCCTCTCACTTTCCGAACATGACACATACGTTCCTGGACGAATTAACCAGGTGGTGGCAGCCCAAATATTTCGTACAAGGGTCGAAGTTAACTTTGTAGATCACGACAAGTAAAGCTTCATGGTGCTCAGCGGTGGGACGATTTTTCACGATTTGTCTTATCAGATTTATGGTATTTTGATTTCTTATTAAATTTCTTAGCTGTGGCTTAGTGTTTCGAAGGATATTTTTAGAACCCATTTCTTTGCTTTTATCTTTGTTTTTGGGATGTTTTAAAGTCTGGCATTTCTATACTTTTACTAAGTCCCCGCCCCCCCCCCCCCCCCCAAAAAGTGTCTTAATGGTCCGGAAGAGAAGCACACGGCTCAGACAAAGTGAAGCAGGGGCGAAGGGACTCTCAATATGTCCGATTCAAGTAATACTACCGTGCCTGTTGACAATAATAATCCAGTACATATGGATCTTTCAATGTATGAGGAGTTAACAACTCGTTGTAATGAATTAGAACAGCGTTGTGCTAATCTTGCTGAACGATACGAGAACTGCTACAGGAGGTCGGCCCTCACAATTCTTCTAATCTTGCTCCTATCACGCCTACAGTAGAATGCGTAGTTCACAGGGAAGATTCAGTACCGCATTTTAAAGCTGAAGTATCCGCAGCTTTCCCACTTAGAAGGAATCAGGAAGTAGAGTCATGGCTACGAGCTATTGAAAATATTGTAAAACCTGCCAGCGATAGAGCTTATATTCGCGCAGCGAGAGCTTCTTGTAGAGGAACTGCGGACCTAATTGTAAATTCCCCGATTTTTGATGAAATTACTAGCTGGATTGACTTCAAGGCGTTAGTAAGGGCTAAATTTCGCGGAACTTGCTCAAGTACAGAGTTCTTCAAACACTTGCATAGCTCGAGATTAACGAATGGCCAGGCACCTTTAGATTTTTTTCGGTCTCGGATTGAAGGTTTGGTTTAATCCAAGGCTACAGAGATTTATCCAATAGCAATAGGTGCGCCAGATGAGCTGATTTAGACGTGTATTCCTTCAGGGACTCCCACATTGGTTAAGAGAAGCTCTGGCTTTAAAAGAGGATGATTTATTACCTTCCCTTGTAGATGCGGCACAACGCATTTGGAACTTGCGTATGGCTTCGAAAGATGGACCTTCAGTCCCAAATGCTCATGATTTCCGACTAGCCCGAGCAGGCAGGTTGCTTCTATAGAGAAGTATTGTCAGTATCACCAGACAAATACCCATAATACTGAAGAGTGCAGATTGCGTCAAAGAACTCTTAGATGTTTTAATTGCCAAGGAACGGGTCATTTTGCGAGGCAATGTCCCTTTTTTTTTTTTTTGTGCGCCGCACGGTCGGACATGTCTTCAACCCGCACGTGAGGACTAATGAGGGAGACCAATGAACCGAGGCAAAGATCAGACAACCAGAAGCACCACCAGCTACACCAATGTAATGGTTCTGGCAGAACAAATAACCGCGTCGTTGTTCCTCTCCTAATGTATGCATATTTAAATGGTATAGTTGTTACTTGTTGTTTGGAAATACTGGTTCAGAAGTCACGATTATTAGCGAGTGTGTTAGCAAGAGGCTGAATATCCATTCAATTACACCAACTGGACGAACATTCAAGGGTGCTTCCGGCGCCATATTTAGTGGTCAGGGAGAAACGAATGTACATTTTTGTATAGACGACCTAGTACAGTGTACCCCACCCCATTTGTAGTTTTCAAAGATATATCATTTCCAGGGGACGTGTTGCTAGGCATAGATTTTCGTTCGCAGGTTTAACTTTCAGTTTGTTGCCAACCACACCCCACCTGGGAATTACATGTCTTTTGACGGTGTAAAGGTGCCCTTTTGGTTTTCTGATCTCACCTCTCTAGGTATTAGAACTATAAATTTAGCATGTAAACCTCAGAATGTAATTGAACCCCAGTGTTCTGTATTATTAGTGACTCAAACCATGATCTGTCCACCCAAGTCGGGATGTTTTGTGAAGACAATGTTATCCAGGGAATTCACACACCCATATGGATTTGTGCAAGGAAAGACTGCAAAGGTATTGGTTCCCAGGACTGTAATAGCAGTGAACAATGATAGTGCTTCTGTGTGGATAATTATGATAAGACTCACCCAGTGACTTTGCAAATGGGAATGAAATTGGCAAGTGTATCAGAAATTGATAGTGTGTATTCATATAATGACTCTGTAAATATTCCAGGTGATGCTGAGCATAGTGATAAGGTGGCATGGGAGGACTTCACCGATGAATTTGATGAACGCTATGGTGTTGGTGACTTTGGTTATTCACGTGGTGACTTTGATATCTTTCCACCAGTAAGCATGGACGTATGTAACATTGAAACTCCTTCGGGCGTGAAAGGAATAATTCCAAAGGAGAACCTGGAACATTTAGGGACAGTGAGATGTGGGATGTTATTAAGGATCTTGGAGAGACATTCTAACCTCTTTGATGAAGATGCCCCTTTAGGTTGTATACCAGATATTAACCATCATATTATAACTTCAGATGGACCTATCCGTACCCGACAGTGGAGATTACCGGAAAGCGCACGTGATACCATACGACAAGAATGTGAAACTATGTTACGTGATGGAATAATTGAGCCTTCTACTTCGCCGTTGGCTCTCTCCTGTGGTCCTGGTGCGAAAGAAGGACGGAGGTATAAGGTTTTGTATAGACTTTCGTAATCTTAACAAAATCACAAGATCGGATACTTACCCAATGCCCAGACTTGATGAAACTATAGACAAACTAGCAGGCACTCACTGGTTCACGGCTTTAGATGCCAAGTCTGCCTATTGGACAGTGGAGGTCAATAAAACGATCGGCAAAGACTGCATTTACTGATGGTTGTCGTCTTTTTCAGTTTAAGCGAATGCCATTTGGCCTGGCTACAGCCCCTTCTACTTTCCAGAGAGCCATTAACGCAGTACTACACCCAGTCTGGGAAGACACACCCTCGCATTCTTGGATGATGTTGTTGTGGCCTCTAGGAACTTTGATGAACACCTCCAGCATCTTGATGAGACTATGGGTCTGTTAGCTAAGCAGGATTCAGGCTTAATCTAAAAAAATGTAAATTTGCAGTGAGATCCTTCAAGTTTTTGGGTCATTTAATAACACCAAATGGAGTCCTTCCAGATCCAGACAAGGTGAAGGCCATTATGCAAATGACTGCCCCACAGACAGTGAAGCAAGTGCGCCAGTTTTTGGGAGCCACTGGGTTCTTTCGACGACACGTCAAGGATTATGCCACTATAGCTGCTCCTTTATCGGCTCTGCTGAAGAAGCAGGCAAAATTCCGCTGGTGTTCAGAGCAGCAAACAGCCTTTGAAGCCATGAAACAAAAGCTAGCTTCAGAGCCGTACCTTAGGCAACCAGATTTCGACCGTCCCTTTGAGGTGCATTGTGACGCCTCTGGTGTGGCGATTGGTGCCTGCTAATACAAAGAGATGACCAAGGTAAACCTTGTGCTGTAGCCTACTTTTCCAGGAAACTGCGGCAGGGAGAGAACAAGTTCCCAACTATTGATGTGGAAGCTCTGGCGGTGGTAGAAGCAGTAAGAACCTTCGATTCTTATCTATACGGTAGGCCTTTTGTCATTGTGACTGATCACCGTCCTCTTGTTCATGTGTTTTCTCGAAAGACAAAGTCTTTGCGCATGTCTCGTTGGAGCCATGAACTTTCCTTTTATAACTATCAATTAATATACAAACCTGGTGCATCACATTATGTGCCAGATTTATTGAGTCGTAAGATTTCCCCAATTGATGAGATATTGGATCCCCAGACAGTGGCTGCTGCTCAACAGGAAGATCCATTGTGGAGTGAGATTCGTGGCTACCTTCAGGAACAGAGGATACCCCAACGCAGGATCCCACTCAACCTTGAGGAGTTCGAGATGAGGGACAACCTATTGTACCATCTCCGGGTGCTTCCAGGAAGGTTGTCAATCAGCTGGTAAT